AGAGCATTCAGAGCATTGGTGTTATCTGGTTCTACAGATACTGTATATTGTATATACTATATAGCTGTGTGACTGTGGAAGTTGACAGCATGCTCATTAATAATTTGACCAAGTGTCAGCATGTACAATGTAAAAAGAAGGGGACCAAGTGTAGATCATAGTTTAATTAATATTTTTCAATAATGGATACAGAGTGCTCAGAGAAGATATCTTTGAACTCAGTGTTGGTTTAAGAACTAGAAATACTGTCTTCACGAGTTCATGAGTTAATTTACGATACCTCTGAGTTCAGGTATAGGACAGTTTTAAGCATTCCTAAAAAGACATAAAGGAGTGTTATAATTCATAATCTCATGCCCTGAAGTTAGTATTGCATAATGTTTCTTTAAGACCTTAACCTAGTTAAAATAAGGTACTATCACTTTGATCATAGAATGTTACTGTGGGAGGAATGGAACAGGCTTCTAAGACAAAATTAGTGCTATGTTAAATCATCAAGCAATTATGAATGACAAAGACAGGGGATAGATGATGCACTAATACAGTAAGTGTAGTCACGACCCACTGTTAGCCACAGTGCAAATTCCCCTGAAAATGGATAATACCAGATTTCCTCTCAATCACTTAGACTTTGTGTTTGAGGATCTGGTGGCACAAGCGAGGAAGAGCATCACAGGAACTAAAGGCCTGGGATGTTCTGTGTATGCCAAATATTTCTCATTTATTACTTACATGTACAGACAAAATTCTTATAATATTACTTAAACTATATGCTTTTAACTTTTGAATGATAAATTGATTCACACTTTACCTCAGATCATGGAGATTTTAACATTAACCTGTAAATAAGTACAATATACTGGTACTGGTATCATGTTACATTGATGCAAGTAAATATAATATCAAAAGAAGCTTTAAACTATTAACTGCTGTCCCAATGCTGAAGTTAAAAGAGAACAGGTTTAAATTGCTCTAGAGAGAAAATAGGACAGCAGTTGAAAACAGACTATACATTAATGGTACACTATATGTAATGATACTATTAAAGAAATTATTTCACCAAGGTCATGTTTCCTAAATGCAATACTCTGTATGATAACTAAAGTCACAGAAGCCCAGAATAGAGGTCTGAGTAAAAGAATCACCTAAGCCACTTTTGTCTTAAGCTAACCATAAGAAATACTGAAGTGCAACATGGTATAAAATGGTAGCCACCAAAACATAAAAGGAACTGCATTCTTAGATTAGTAAGAACATTTCTAAATAATATAAAGTAATTTAAAACTAATAATTTGATATGACATCTTCATAACTAAAACCAATAAGGGCTTTGTCTGCTAAATGTGCGACTCCTCATAAACGCAACATACAGTTCAACAAGTAGCTGGGAATGGCTAATGTCTAGACGGTCCCCAGAATTGTGGTAGTTTGATACTATAATTGCAATTCAGGCATGATGTAACATGGTGCTTTGTCATTTTTCTTTCTTACATAAAAGTACTAGTGAAGCACAGAACTATTCGACAGATGGCTTTAGTGTAGAAATTCTGATGATTACGAAGACTTCAATTAAACCAATAGCAGTGTGTAAAGATTGTTCTCGCATTTTTCACTGATACTACCTCTATTTATACTGTAGTTCACACCTCCGCTCAATAATTCTTCTTATTATGAAACAATTTTAAATATTGCAGTTTTACACTGTTGTGAAATTACAGACTGTAAAGCAAGTAAAAGGGTAAATTAATGCTTTCCAAGGACATTGCTCTGACAAACAGGAGGCACTTCTTTACACAAGGTGTTGAAGTATTATAGAACAACTACCAGTCGTGTTGTTTAAGTATATACCCTGGCTTCTTTCAAGAGACAGCTGGTTGAGATCTTCTGGTCACCTAGCCACTAGCTGCTGAATGGCCTCCTCTCATTTTTAAAAATTATTTGTTTATTTCTGGCCTTAAGTTCTTAATATTGATGGAGGAATTTGGCAAAAAAACAAAATCAATTTTCACTGTACACATGAAAAACTCTAGTAAACCACATATACAGTAACTGGACAAATGCAGAACTAGATAAAACTGCGCAATTCTGTTGTGCCTGTGTAAATACTACTCAAACAAGGCAATTAAGCATAGCAATAGAGAGGCATTATTCTTCTCTATTATATGTTAAATGTACTGTGCAAACAAATATTATTTAGTTAACATGAGGCTAATTTTGATTCCGAATTTTACCTGTATGCTGTGTTCTACCTTCAGATGGGAGCAGTGTTCTGTAAATTTTGATTTTCATCTAAAAGAATCTTTGCGTTGCTCTCAGTTAAGATATGACCTTGTAAAGTACAGACTCATGAATTTTTTCCAACAGTTATGCTGTCCTCTTGAAATCCTCTGTGCTTATCTCTGTCTTGCAGGAATAATATGAGTGTATGTTTTTTTACACTGTCATGGCTGGGGACATCTACAATAATGACATGAATGGCTGGTTAGAATCTCAGATGGAGGAAAAATATCTGTATCAAGGCTAAAAAATTATCCTTACTCCCTGTAACTTCCTCTCACAAATGTATGGATCTAATGTCACAAATCTGCAAGGGTTTTGATATACATCTGTGTTTATGTGACCATCAAAAAGCTAAAAAATATAATATTCGCAATACTGAAAATAGAGGCTTACTAGCACAGAGAATTTCTAGTACATTTAGAAACTTAACTTTTCACATACCCTTTGTTTACCATCTTGTTGCAGGGCAAGGTCTACTGCAGGTCTACTGAGCATGTTGTACTTCACAAGTACTGTACCTCTAGAATATGCTGTGTGTTTTTCTACTGTACCATGTTTAGTTTTTATTTTAAGGTATTACTATATGCTAATAAATGTCTCTTCACTGTGTAGGTGTTAACATGTTAGGAAGTAACACTTAATACAATTTAGTAAGATACAGAAGTAATTTAAGCCTTTCCGTTTAAATGCAGAGTGATGTTCTGAGCTATCTTCAGTGGTCTGTGGGAAGCTGGGCTCAACATTGTTTTAAAGGAAGAGTAAAGGCTCCACCTACAGGTAGAATGAATATTGCAGATGTAAATCAATTAAAACAGGGAGTTGGATGTTATTGCACAACAGACAGAAGTGTTAAGAAGTAAGCTTCATTACCACAAATATAACTTTTCTTATTTTAAAACAGTTTTATGAACCAAAATATACATTCAAGTTGTCTTATAACTTGTTAATATATTTTTTCACCAGTATGAAAAGGTGGACAATAAGATAGATTCACATATTGTACTTCAATCTATTGAACAGATTTACAAGTCTCCTGGAAATTCTAAAATACAATGTAAAAAACAGGTTTGATGAAAAATAAGTTTTTGTTTCAACCACCAAGAAATGTTTTTAAAATAACATTAAGGTTAATACATTCAACATTAACCCAGTCATATTAACACTTTTTCAGAATATATAAACCATATGAATGTTGATTAATTTGACTCATTATGCCAAATTCTTAAATATTTGTTTATATCACGCAACAATGACAAGGAAGAAACCTGTATATAAGACCTGTATTGGGAACACAAACCAGAGGACTCAAGAGGAAGCTACAGTATGTACAGTAGAAGTACAGTACATACTGTAGGGTGCCTTGAAAAATATTCAGACCCATTCTATGATGTCCCATTGTGTGAAATTACAAAATGCTACACACACATTTTTTAAATAGAATATTTTATTCAACACATGAATGCTTAAACTGAAGAATTCTAAGGTAAGATATGTTGCAGTAAAAGGCAGCACGAGGAAAAACTTAAATGTTAGTTGCATACTGTAAGTATGCAGACCTGTAAACGTAATATTTGGTGGAAGCACTAAAGCAGTTATTACAGCTGCAAGTGGGTGAATCTCTACCAATTTTTCACACTGACTTGGTGTATTTTTGCTTGTGCTCTTATGCGGTTTTACTCAAACTCTCTCAGGTTGATTGGGGAATATTTATGGGCAGCAGTTTTCAAGCTTGCTACAGATTTACAATAAGACTCAAGTCAGAACTTTACTGTACCTCAAGAACATTCACATTCTTTTTTGTTAAGCCACTACAATGTAGCTTTGGCCTTCTGCTTTGGATTATTGTCCAGGTGAAAGAAACTTTTTCACAGTTTTAAGTTTTAAGCAGACAGAAGGATTTCTTCTAGGATCTTCCAATACCTTTACCACATTTTTGCAAGATCACACCTGTCAAAAAAAACATGTGGTCTTCAAAATAGCTTATATTTTGTGATGACTTTCTTCCTGCCACCCTGCCATACAGGTTAGTCATGTCAATTGATCTGGATATTGTTGAGTGATACACATTTTCTCCCAACCCAGTCTCTGAATTCTGTAACTCTTTCATAGTTGTTGTTGCCCTACAATAGCATCCCAAACCTGATCTAGGCATCTGAATGGTATGATACGCCTATAACTGGGAAGATTGTGCTCATAGGGATATCCAGAGACTAAAAGAAGTTTTGTACCCTTTGCCTGATCTGTTTTTCAATTTTATCCCTGCTTTGCTTTTAAAGCTTCTTTGTCTTCAGTTGTTGAGTCTTTGCTTGAAGTTCACTACATAGCCAAAGATAATCACAGAAAAAGACATTATTACACACAGAAGCCACTCAGCTGAATTGTGTACATTGTGCATATAGTGTAACAAACATACAGGTAATTGCTATTTCAAAGTGTCAGAACTGCAAGCTTTAAAGCAAACAAGTGTGAAAACTGTGGAACTTTTGCATGGCAGTGTAAAACTGAAAACAGGAGGTATTCACGCAAAATGTTGTGGGAACAAGCTATCCAGTCATGTTATTAAAGCTGATACCCTGGCTTCTATCAATAAAAAGTTGGATGATATTCTTTCTATCTAATATACTACAAGTAATATTATCTACTACAAAACAGGCTATATGAGCCAAAAGGCCTTCCCTTTAACTTTTTTGTTCTTGTATTGATTTACAATTAGGATGTGATTACATATTAGGTATGAAAACAAATTATATTAAATTTAAAATTCAGGATTACACCTCAGTACAGTTGCTTCATGACCTCACATGGAAATAAAAACAAATGAATTATGAAAGTATTGCATGTTTTTTTCTGGATATTAGGTTGCACACAAGAACTAATTTACTTCTGAACAAATGAATGACATAATCGGCTGTCCACTTGGCCAGACAGAAGTGAGAACAGTAAACAGCTGATCAGTATTATGAGTTTACTGCGCAAAGTTATCCTATTTAAAGTCCATGACCATCTAAGAAGAATTAAGAGCTATGCTGTAAATAATGTGCAGGTATACTACAGCTTACCTGACCTATTATTCCTCAGTGCTATAGAATATTCAGCTTAGGTCTGAACAGAAGTTGTATAAGGTGAGTTCCACACATCTTCCAGGGTTTATTACACAAATACCATGATTTCTTCCAAGTTCTTGCGTTTTAGGTCAGGAACCGTAGCGTCTTCTGTGGGATAACCCACTGGCAGCAGCAACAACAGCTTTTCATTCGCTGGACGCTGGAGGAGAACACGCAGTTTTGGGCCACAGTTTAAAGGTGTAGACGTCACTGTTACCAGACCTGCATTCTGAGGAACAAAACACAGACATCATGTATTTTTTAAAAAAGGGGGGCATTTACAGTACCTACTGTATTTTCTTCAGAATAGTAACAAAATGAGACATGTAAAGGTTTTACATATTGTAAAACGTTTGATGTATAATGTGTATAAAGATACTGTAACTGTAATAACTAGGACACTGATTTTATATGTCATGCAAAAGATAGCACAACAGCCTATAATCTTGCAAAGTTCTGTCATGTGATACCTTAGCATCTCACATGAGGAGGAGCATGACATTCCGAGACACTGGGGCACGAGCAGCATTGTGCTGATGTACTGTATTTAAAATACCTGCAGTGCAGCAAGAAGCATCCCACAGGAGATAGAAACACTGATTTCATTGTAGTAATGGGTTTTCTTTTTTCCACTGGAGTGAATTCCATATATTTGCTTGAATATGAGGATGAGATAAGGAGCAGTGTCAAGATAATCTTTAACCCAGTTTGTTCTGAAACAACAACAGCAATAATAATACAATAATAATTACAATAGTAATCACCATCATTAGAAAAATAATTAAAGATCCTAGCTTGATGTGAGCCAGTGTCAGAATATACTGAGGTCAGTGGGACCAGGCCTGGGAAAATCTGTTGTAAATACACACACAAAAACTTTTATCTCCTAATTAATTCATGCCTCAAATTGTATTATTGTTTTATTTTTACTTCAGCATTCTATGGTATTGCTTATATCTACAGGGAACAAAATACTATATAATACAAAATACTATGGAAAAATCCTGTCAAACATGACAATTTACTTATATTTTTCACCACTAACCTAGCTTAATAACTGTAATGGAAATGTGTGAACACCTTTATTAAGAAAAATAGTCTCTTTTGGATCAAGCACACCTTTAACTGAAGTAGCACCAGGGATGTTTTACTTATACCCAGTATACAGAATGAGAAAGGTGTTTTAAGCCCCACCACCTTTGATGGACACTGAACTTCTGTTTGTTTTATATTAATAAAAACAAATTTGCAGGCTTTGTAATCCACAAGGAGGAGCTGCTGTGGTATATACAGTATCCGCACTGTGATTCAGCTCCAGGATTTATGTTAAAGGGCTCCATTCACAAAAGGGTTTTATGCAATAAATTGAAGGTATTGTAGCAAGTTTGAGCAGAGACCATCTTGAGCCATCCCCCCACAATAACTCCTGTTCAAAGGGTTTACTTTGATTCAGCTTCAATCCATCAAGGGATTACTATACAAAAGCTGAAAACATATTGCAGCAAAACACAGTTTCTTTAGGAAATCGCTTCGGCTGCTGGGAATGTGAAGCTAGTTACGCTAACCATCCAATGTAGACAGAACTCGCAACTTTTTTTCTGAAATTGTAACATAACCAATGTCTTATGTATTTCCAAATAAGGAATTGGTGAAACTGACCTCATCCTCAAAATACAGAAAATGTTTTTTTTAATTATCATTAAAGCTATCAGTAAATGAAGTTCAAACCACACCAATCCCCAAAAACACAGTAAATAACATTTTAATAAGCAGGAAGGAAGTCCAAATCATTTACTAACATTATTGTTATTTCTTTGCATGTCCAGGTAACCATACTTTTCTGACTTGTTTGTCAATCTGTTTTTATGTAAACAAAATCTTGATAAACAAATAATTAAATGTCATTGGTGAGAACAGCTTAGAAATCAAAAGGGTCTTCTGTTTAACATAAGTTTATGTATAACCTTTGATGATTAATTCAGTGCTGATAAACTATCATTGGTTAGGGGAGGGATTTTGACCCCTATTTGCCTGGAAATGCTGGAACAATGTCATTACACTCCAGTAAAGCAGTGATCTGAAAAACCCCGTCAGAATTAGATATATATTTCCCAGTAGAATGTCTTAGAATAGAATTTTTAAAAGTACAGCACATCAAAGCATAACTCTAATGTGTGAAAAGGTAACAGCAGTAAAAACTACAGATCCAGGTGACTTCTGTTACTCATGTTCTTCTCACCTTAGTCTCTGCAGATCGCCGACCCATTTCTCTCCCATCCGCTGTTTGTAGTTAACCTCTTCCTCCTCCTCGACAATTTCGCGGATCATGTGCTTAGTTTCGGGATCTGCCACTACCACATATGTCCAAGGCTCTGTGTGAGCGCCGCTTGGAGCCGTGCCTGTCATACATTCAACAGAGAAATCATAGTGTTGTCCCTTATCTCTGTCAGCCACCATACAGAGATCTGAGCAGAGGTATAAGTCAGATTGCAGGATAGATACAGTATGTACTGCCTGAATACTGTCTTTTTAAAGTCTGTTTTTCACATATATTTCGCTTATATTTCACATTCTTGTGAGTTCAATTATTTTTTTAACTTTACAAGGTAATTATACATTTCTTACATTGTGCTCCAGTAATTTTTTTTTTCTGTGAAACTTCAACAAAGTTTAATAAATAGATTTGTCCTTCAACAAAAGTACATATTAAATAGGTCTCGACCATTGTTGGTTTACATGAACATCTTTATCTTTAAATAAAATACACTATAGGCATTTAATGCTAAAAGCGTCTGTTTACTGAAGTGCCAGACTCCTGTTTTCAATCTGAACTGTCACTGCTGATCAGATACATGAATCCTGTTCTACTGATATCTTTAGATTTGTGCTAAAACCATCTCTCCTCTGAATAAAGATCACCGGATAAATTAAATTATAACCTGATATCTTTAGATTTATTGTAGGAGTAGTACTTTTTTCTTACTGGCAAGAGCAATCACAACTGAATATAATGCACTGTGAAAAAAAATGTATTTCTAAGAGATGAGAATCAACTGCTAAATCAATACATTTTCCATCAAGAAGATGTACACTTGATATATAGTAGAGGTTTACCAGCATGGCGTTTTTCAATATTAATCTGTAATTATGTAATGTTAATTCATCCCCATAATTTACCAGAATAAATATGTAGAATTAATTTCATTTGAAACCCATGAGTTATGTCTACTCCAATTTATTCACCTCCCAGAAAGCACATGCCTATATCATGGGATAAATCTGATTGTTATTCTAAATTGTCACTTTGTCTGGCCTTTGATAGATCTTGAAGATTGAGTACCTCTTTACTAGATGTTATCAGATAAAAAAATCACATTTCAAAACAATAACTATTTGGCATCATTTGGACCTAATCAAAGTTCCAATATGTCCTATATTGTAGGACAATCGTATTCCAAGTTCTAGTGAGCTTCTGCTAATAAGGTTTGGGATTTCTAAGAACACAGACATTATGATCAATGATGTGCAACAGATGCATAACTAGATTTGAATTTTGATTAATCAGAGAAAAAAAACAGCAGATGTTTTGGTTTATCCCATTGCAGTCAATCTTCTTTAGTAGCAATATACAGATACAGGTTAACAAGCCTAAATTCCCATTTTACCTAAACCCTTGAGAACAGTAGTAGCACCAATCATACAATATTAACCAGTGTTAATATTGTGTTTCTGCCGTTTACTGAGCATTTTGGAATCAACTGGGGAGACGTGTCATACTTTGCAATTACGTCCAAAGTAGAACAAATTTTGTTTATGATGAAATTATCATAAACTGTTGCTCCATGTACTTTAACGTCTACAAAATGTGTAATTAAGGATGGTGTCAATAGATGTTATAGAATGTTGACTTCCAACAGCATTGAAATTATATAACAGACCATTAGACAATTCTCCATTTTTTATATCTTTTACACATCTACTTAAAGAGCAAATATTAACCCTAAAGTTGAACAAATTAAGCTAACAGCAAAATACATAATTGCAGGTACTACTGTATATAATAAGCACCTGCTTTGCACCAGTTGTTTGCCATGACAGGATCCAGCTCCTCTACAACCCTGAACTGGGTGAAGCGGTTAGAATATACTGTACATGGATGTATATTATGTTCCTAGAAAAACTATCATATTTAAAAAACAATTCTAACATATTTGTCAACAAACTGTGCTTATCAATCATCTAGTAATGCACAAACATTTATGTAGAGTACATATATTTTGCAAGAGCACATAGTATAGTTTATACAGTAAATTACAGATACAGTAGCAAGATATCTAATTGTTGCACATTTCAACTTTTACAATTTTAGCCAATTAATATGTCTTTGTCAACCTCATAAAGCTTGATTTGGCTAATGTTGTGATTACTTATGGGCTGTTTTCAAAAGATACATTACATAGGGTGAGCTGGATATTTTATAGAAAATATATTGTCTGGCAGAAATGTGAAAACAGCTGATCTAGGAGAAAATAGCCAACAATCGTATTTATCTTCTTTGGGTAAAAAAAAGGTCACTTGTTTCCAGTGATTCATATCCAATCACCTCAAGGTACAATGTAGCTCTGAGAAATCTTTCCAGCTGTGACTAATGTTATTTAAAGTAGCCACACATTCAAGAGGTTGACCTCTGCAGTGGTTTAGAGTTGTTTCAAAATGTCACTAAACCTTTACAAAAAAAGGGATCCATTCAAATTCCTTACCATGTTTGCTAAAGCAAGTCATCTTAATCATGTGTACATGAAATGTTGCTTATTGTAACATATATAGTATACTGTATATAACATATAACACACTATCCTTCTAAATAGAACATGTCTCTCATGGCTATCTTTTACCACACAAAGGGGGCTTGTCCAAATTTTGTAATAGAGTTGTTAATGAATGCTGTGGAACACTTTGGTGTTTTCACCTTAGACCTAATTAGACAGAAGTGGCAGCCTGAGAACATTCATCAGTCTTCTGCCTCAGAGGCCATGAACAGATTTCTTCAAATTTGAACAGATATTTAGTTCAGCCCTGAATTGTGTTTGCATAGCTCTTAGAGAAAGTTTTCAGGCTGCCTGCTGGCACTGTGCCTGATTGCAGAGAGCACCATGGTCTGCATTCTGTCTTGATTACTACACACTGCAGTCTTTTAAAGAGAAGACAGATAAAACAAGTCTTTGTATCTCACCAAGGACAAGCTAACAAGAGAAGAGTCTGTCATGCTTCAGATCAGAATGTTCCAATTCCAATATTTAGAATATAAGGAGAAGGTATGTCCTAATGCACCTGCTGTTCTGATGACATTGTCGATAACCTCCCTTGGCACTGGCTTGGAACTGATGAATCTGACAGACCTCCTCTTGTTCATCAGCTGGTAAAACTGCTGAGAGCGCTGCAACATTTCATCTTTGGAGAACCTCAGGGGGGAATATGGGACGTGAGCAACATTGCTCTCACTGTCAGCCCATTCATCGTCAGCTAAACAAAACAGAAATTAACAGCAAATTAGTTTAAGATGACACATCTGCAGCACAAAGTGATTAACTATTTTATCAGAGTCTCCTACTTCACTTTAAACATGTTCATATACAGCTGGAATATACAGTGAGTTCGAATACATTGTATCCCTGACATGGTCTAAATTCTAAATTTCTGTTCCTGTTTTCCTTAAACCTCCATCTACCAGTGCTATAGTTATAAAACATGGAGCTGCAAATATGAAAGTATTCGATAGGTGGGTATCCTTACAACAGCCTGCCTACGGAAATTTAACGGGGATCAGCTTGCAGGCATTTAAGAATTCAAGTTTAAAATTCTCTCTTTTGACCTCCTGTGGTTGATAGTACAGTAGGTGGCTGTAACAGTTCCAAAAGGGTCACCACTTGACAAGAACCTAACTGGACTTACAGTTTTGAGAGAGTATGTGAAGGGTTCACTTGGTTGTAAGGGTCTGATTGTTTTGGAGTGTGGACATTGTGGTTTTTGGTATAAAAAGGGTGTGTCAAAGAAAGGCGAACACAGTATCAGATAAATCAACTTCTGGTACATTTTCCATTTGTGTTCTTGTATTGTATTTTGCCAGCTATCTTATTTGGCATCCTGAAACTATTCTGTGCCTTTTGAAAAAATAGTATATTCATTTTGAATGAGGGAGGCAGGTTAAAACAAGATGAAGGCCCTTGACTGAACCACATTTCACACAGAGCAATGGAAAATCTGCCATCGTCAGTCACCTGACCAGACAGAGGAAGATGATTGCTCAAGTGACATTTAAAATCAGCATGCAGATGCTTTGGGTGCTGATCTGTGCCTGATGTCTGAGAAAGACGTCAGCTCCTCTGCTTTGCACTGAACCAGAAGACCAGAAGGAGAGAAGTCTACTTATTTCTGATGGACCAACCAGCTGTGGGACCATGGACTCATGTGAACATTTGTTCACTTTGTGAACTTTGTGGGTTTTTGAGAACTTTCAGAAATGAACTTTGAAGATGGTAAGCAGCTTAGCTGCTTTGCTCTACCTATATAGAAGGATATTAGAAGATGTTTAGGTAAAGTTCAAAAAGAAGCTTAGAGTTTTGTTTTGAATATGTTTTATTACTGTAAGTAAAGGATTTTTTTTACCTTACTGTACATCTGTGTGTGTGTCATGGATGTCTGAAGGACTAGCTGTGGAAAGACAAGGAGAGACCCTATGTGTAGTGGTAAAAGGGGCAACACGGAGGTTTGCCCAGGCTTAGAGGGTTTAGATGATTTTGGAATAGAAACCTACTGTATGCCCTCAGGTCGCGTACGTGGGGCGACCTGGTGCTAGGCGGGTTTCAGGACATCCATACCCTCAATGCTGAGCCAGGAGCAGAGCAGACACAGGACATAAATAGGCTACATGACAAAACACCCCAGAAAGACATGAACAATAACAGGGAACAAGGAACAGGACAGAAGTAGTGCGCCCTCTAGGTGTACAGGGCGTGACGGTGTGTTTCGCAGTGACTTGCTTACATAAAGATCGTAAAGGCACCCTGCCCCCGAGTAGGTCATAATTTGTAGCTTCAACTTTACTTGGATAAGCCAATTGTCTATTTTAAATACATGCATTTGGAAACATTTAATCTATTCAATTTTAGTTAGGAGATTTTAATATATTGTATATACTAAATGTGGATTGGAGTTACAGTAGAAGTGTTGTGATCTATAGATTTGGAGGCTTTTTATATAACTTAAATGTCATTGCAACACTACATTGTTTATGGACCTGTTGGACTCAAAGGGCATCCTTTGAAAATTGTTAAGGTTGTTTTATTATATCACTTCGAGGAAATAAAGAAGCACAAAGATATGTGTTGTCAGAATGCAAAATAAAATTTTGTGAAGACCCTGTCCCAAGACACACAGAATGGTCATTTTACAAAACCTTTAGCATTTGTTAAGTTTCTAGTCTGATTCTGCTGACTGAAGATAACAGTTATAAATGAGAGCTGGCTATTAGTTTTTTCCTAAGTACATTTCACAAGTAATAAAATTGAATGGTCTATTTACTGTCAATGATGTTCATACGTACTGTATATGTGCCTTTCAGGAAGAGTTATTTCCGGACCCTATGCAGACGGCACAATCCGGGGTAAAGTGAGAAAACATGGGGAAAAAAGCATGCAGGATACAGGGATGAGGATAGGGGAGCTTGTCCATGGAGTGCTGGTGGTCTGGGGAGGTGTGACCAAGGCAAACGATCCAGGAATGAGTCAAATGGGAAATCCAAAACTGCACAAAAAGTCCAAGGCCAGGTGATCCATCCGAGAACGACGATAAAAATCCAGAACCGGGTCGGGACCGGCAGGGGAAATGGGAACAGGAACAGAAACTAAAACCATAACGGAGCCAGGCACATCCAGGTCCCGGGCTCGCATGATGTGGGAACCAATGCAGAGCCCGCATTAACGTCTGCATCTGGCTTTTAAGAGGGAACTGAAAAGGGGCTGGAACATGGAACAGGTGCGGGAGATGAAACTAACAAGGAAGGGCTGGAGCGCCCTTAAGAGGAGGGGCTGCGATCATGACAGTGCTTTGTTATTAACACAATACCACAAAACATACTAGAATTGTCAGATGTCCCCACAGCTCTTGTGTACCTTTGATGAGTATTTGAGTCTTTTGCGTGAGGTGTCTGCATCAGGCACTGCATAATAATCAAAGCTAATGTCCTGATGTGATTGTTTCAGCTCTCTTCTGTGCTTAGGGTTGTCCATATAATATTTTATGTAAAGAATGCTTACTTCAATATGGAAGGGCTCTTGTTATGAACAGTTCAAATGAAAATGCTGTAAAGCTGCAGAGCTCGTTTTTTAATTTTAAATTTCACATTTCTACTGAATACATTTCCCAAGTACCAGTAAACCACTTGTATTATTTGCTGTTCCACATTGGAATAAGTGCCACTTCTGATTTAGTGCAAGCTCTAATGCAGCCCATTAACCAGCCATAAATATTGAAGAGATGAAAGTCAAGAAGATCTGTTGACAAAACTCTGCTTCAAAGAAGACAAAATAAAAGACAGAACAAAATGTTTTTATGCATATGATCAACTGCTGTTGAAGCTTTCTGGTGATTAACAGCCCTGAGTTAATCAAAAACATTCATGATACTGCAGTATCAATTTAATTTATTTGTCGTGATTGTACTTTCTGAGATAACTGACATAAGATTAATAATGAAAATCAGTGACTTAAATTAATCCTTTTCCCCTTGCTGCTTCCTAAGTACTCAGAGAAGAATGGTTGTAATGGAAATGATTGAAAAATGTGTTCTTCCGTGATTCATTGACACCTGGCTATATTTGGCACTTCTATATTCCTCTTTACCCTCGTTTCTGTAATTCTGGGAAGGATATCACCATACAGTCTTGTCAACCAGATTACTTGTACTTTTTTTCTGATTGAAATCTATTTTTTTTTCTTGGAGAAAATGAATGACCATGCAATTTAAACTGATACCATATTTAATTAGAAATTTATAGTCAATATATAATCAACTAGAAAAATGAAAAAATTGACTTTCCAGATTTGTCTTCCAACATTTTTCCTCCCTAAGTCAAACACTAAGCCAAGTTTAAAACATTTATTTTAAAAAATCAAAGTGAATGTAAATGAGAAATCATCGATCCTGTGTATTTTCTTTTGCTAGAGTTGATACAGTAAATAGCAAAAGAGCTCACTGATTCAAGAATCTCATTTGATCACTTGAGAAGGCTCTCAAGGATTCCGGTTCAACACATTGCTACACATGAAGCTTTATGTAAAAACGTTGCAGAGGAATGTCTCTTATTTTCAATGCTTAATGCACATTATCTATAATTCTGCATGTGTTCCCAAGTCAGACAATGAGTTATATTTTTAGGGATTTCAGGTGTAATAATGCCTAAACAATACCTGTGCATTTTCCAAAAAAAAGATGTTACTTTTTGTTACTTTTCTAATATGTAAGGGCTGGATGCCGTTTTTACAGAAATCATATTGTTTTAATATATTAGTAAGATGTGCTGCAGTGGTTAGCATTGAACCTTGGGTTCAGTTCATGGGGAACTAACTGCATGGAGTTCATGTGTTCTCCCATTGATTGCATGGGTTTCCTCCTGGTGCTCTGGATTCCTCACCCAATCCAACGAAATACTTGTAGTTAACTGGCTTCTGTGTCTGTGTCTGTGTGAGTCCTGCAATGGACTGTTGTCCAGTCCAGGGCATATCCTGCCTTGTTGCTTGCCGGGAAAGGCTCTGGCTCGCCCAGACACAAAGCAGTTAAAAAATGTATGGATGGATGAAAAGTAGATATTTACTGTATAACCTTGATGTTTGAGGCAGTTAGAGTTTGGCTTTTAAAGTTGGAAACACAGCTGACTTTCAGTTTAATGTAGTGAGTCCCCATTTTCTTTGTCAACCATACAAAGAATTTGCTTGATTCCACCCTACTAAAGCTATAAAAAGTTTGAGTAGCAGCATGAAATTGCATACATTGAAACGTTCACCTTTTAAGTGAGTCTTTTATCTCAGTGCGGGTAAATGTTAGAGGTACAATTATAGCAATTAAGCCCTTGTCATTTCAGGTTGTGTTTTTTTAATATATACCTTCTTACTGTAGTTTTTGTATTTTCTTTTGTGATATGACTCACTGCAAGAGGTTTCCATGCAAAGGAAAAAATAAATGAAATCGCTGACTTTTACTGTTCAATTCAGTTCAATATCTCTGCAACATAAGTGCAAACATTTTGAAGTCAATGCAAAAATTGCATTTTAATAAAGATTATGTAAAAATGATGTCATAAATGAGCTGTGTGGTGATCAGTAGACAAAAATCAGTACAAAAAAAATTAACTCCAAAAAAAATCCCTCAAAATGTACTTTGAAAACAGAAAAAGAAGAGGGTAAGGATCAGCAGTATCTGAACGTAAACATATTTACAGTCTATACCACCTGATTATGTTAATATAAACCGTGTATTAAGAATATGGTATAGTATACTGCACTTGCACAGTCGAAGCGTTTTGCTATGGTTAACTAATTGATTCAGAATTAAGTGACATTAATCTTTAGTCTAACACTAGAAAAACATTCAATATATTTTTAGTTTGTCTTTTGCCTTCCTTGGTTGACGTCTCTTCAGTTCATGCTTCTTTCTGTCTAAATATTTAACGGAACAGTTTTCTGAGTTGAAGTAAGGTCAAAGTATGACTGAGTAGGCTCAGAAAAAGTCTTTTTGATCCACTTATCGAATTCTAACATGAATTTTGTAACAAGAGTGATGTACAGAACATATTCAGAGGTTGCAGATACCCATTAATTTGCTTAAAAGTTAAAAGTTAAAATTAAAAATCTTCAGAATCTTCTTGAAGTTAAAGATTTGGATTTCCAGATTATGATCGAGCGTGACAAATTTCTCAGTTACCTTTGATTTCCATTTCAATATTTGCCATTCCTTCTTTAAAATTATTTGACTACAGGCACTATTGTAATTTCTATGATGACTGCTATCATCTTGTATGCATTAATAACAAATTAAGAAAATAATCAGCAAAAGAAATAATGTAGTAAGTCCGTACATTAAAAAAATTATTAAACCTTTTTAATAATGTTGTCACAGCAGGAGTAACATCTTTCTGGAAATGTCAATCAAAATTTTTTAATGATTACCTTCAGCTCTGGGGTTTATCTCTGTGTTGTCTTGAAGATCTTCATCTACCCAGGGTTTGGCTGTAGCAGGGGGTTTGAACTTCTTCTTTGTGACTTGATTTTTTTTCTGTGACCCTCTCAAAATGAAAAGGACAACAACACATAAAATGGCCACAAACACTGGAGTCAGAGAAGAGAAAAGAGCCATAGTCCTCGAGTGCAATGTGAGGCAATGTGCTTCTTTTCACAAACTGGAACATTTCACAGGCTGAAGAGGAGCGCACCAGCAAGAACAAACAATCTCTCCACCCTGAACTGCAGAACAGTGGACCTTGAAAATGGAAGGTTTGTAACAGAGAGTTATCGCCTATCTTTAGGGTAATTATTAAACAAAGTTGCTGACAACTGCACAAAAAACTGCAAAATCACAGGGACAAAGATCTTAACACTGCATTGTTTTCAGGTTGCTGCAGTGACCTTTTCGATTAACTTCACTGCATCTAAGTTTTGAGCTGCAACACCAACACTTACTGTAAAAGAACTGCTGCGAAGATAAGTTGCTAATGGCATAATGGGATAAACATCTAATTAGTTTTACTTCTATACAAAGCTTTTACTTAAAGAAATGTAAACAGAAAGAAATGACATTCAACACAATTAATTACTTTTTCCAAAAATGAACAAGTAATAGGTTTATTCCATGCTGAAAAAAATAAGAAAGAAAACACAACGTTTCGGCCGTGGGGCCTTCTTCAGGTGTGAGGAAGAAGGCCCCACACCTGAAGAAGGCCTCACGGCTGAAACACTGTGTTTACTTTCTTCTTTTTTTCAGCATGGAATAAACCTATTGTTCCTTTGCAGCCTACACATGCTGACGCAGCTCCCCACCTGAACTACTTTTTCCCAAAATGCCATGAAATAAATTATTTTAATCATTTAAACTCTGTGCACAAACATAAAAAAAATCATTTTCTTTTTCCGTCAATTATGTGTACACTGTAGTTCAACCTACAACCCAAAAAATCATTCTGTCCTAGAGCAGGAAATCTCAGCCTTTTCCAGTTTGCTCAACAACTTCAGGGAATCTCTCAAAAAGGGCCGTCCAATTAAAATGACTAGCTTGAAGTATGCCATTCTTGTACGTACAGATTATATCCATCTGTCGTCTAATCGCTTCATCCGATTCAGGATCACAGGGGAGCTAGAGCCTATCCTGACAAGCAAGGGACGCAAGGCAGGATACACCCTGGAGAGGACGCCAATCCATCACAGGACACACACAGACACAGAAATGCACATACATAGCACCACAAACAGCTGAACATTCAGAAACTACTCCCTGAAACATGTCCTGATGTCACGCCGGGGCCAGTTTTCTCTAAGTCAATTAACCTACCAGTGTGTCTTTGGACTGTGGACGGCAACTGGAGAACCCACACAACACAGGGAGAACATACAAACTCCACTCAGGCAGCGCTCCAGGTCCAGCATTGAACCCATGGCCTCAGAGCCTGTACAGGAGGAATGCTAACCACTGTGCCACTGTGCTGCCCCTGATACTATTATAACAATATTAAAAACAGAATGTCTGAACCACAGAACTACTGTAGTTCTGAGTACCTTGACAGTTGGATTTGATTCAGTCTTATTGTGTAGTGTATTGGATTTTAAACATTTCAGAATTGATAAAAAAAGTACCCCAATTTCTCTGGATGATTTTTATAAATACACCCTGGGTGACACCCCTCAGTGACACCCCTTATTAAGGAGCCAGTTTAATGGCTCCTTAAAGCGCTGGCTGAGCACCACTGTATTTGTAAAGCAAGTATTAAGCTTCTGTGACAGACGTGGTTAAAACCAGGTCGAAACAGAAAAGATTCATATACTGTGTAGATGCTGTCTGAAAAACATAGTGTTGAGGTGCCTGTATGAACTGTACCTCTAGAATAAAAGGAGGAATTCAGTTGTTTAGTTGGAAAGAAACCCTTCATTGGTCAGTGAATAAGAACAAAGGGTGAGGCTGTTATTAAAAAAAACACCTCTAGAAGCCAGAAATGTTTTTTTTTTCCTTCAGCAAATTTATTTGGTCATTGGGCTGTTTCTAAACTACTTTTATGCCATATAAGCAGTAGCTGAAAAACATCTACAGTAGGTAGTAAAAAGTGAAGATGGTGGCTGGCAACAACACAACCTCGGGGAATGTGAAACATGACACTGGACAATCTCTGAAAAGTGTTAGTATTTGGTGAAATACCCTATTAATCTATTACTGTAGTTTTGTCCAAATCAAGTTATTCCAGCATTCATCAATGCTTACAAATAACAGTTTTAAAAACCATTGCTAATAAATACTGTATAATAAATTGCACTAGTGTACAGTAAGTCCAAGATTTCATACTACAAACATACTAATTTACTAAAAAGGTGATGCTTTTCAGGTGATTGGGATTCACATACTATATGACTGTATAAATGTTAATTATTGTACATTTAATGCAAAAAATGAACTATGGTACATTGTAGGTGGAGTTTTTATACAGACCCTATCCACACTGCTGTTACCAGCTCCAAATGTTTGCTTAATGTTGCTAAGCAACAAAGACCTAGCATAGGAAAGTGCTTCACCAGCACAATCCTGCAAACAACACACTGCAGAAGGTGGGTTATGGTCAAAGCTATTAAATAATAAGTTTTTTAAGCAAAACAAGTCCAGAAGAATTTTATATCCAAATATGCACAGGGTACTGTTCTCGAAGGTTCCTAATGGAACACAGATATTTATGTTAGTATGTAGTAGTTCAGGTGGGTAGCTGCGTCAGCATGCGTAGGCTGAATTTTAATCTTCACAGCCCTAACATGTTCTCTGAAGTGGTCTCTGAGTCTCTTTCCTGTTTCTCCAATGTAGATGGCTGGGCATTTACTGCAATACATACAGTAAATAAGGTTGCTGGAGGTACAAGATGCCATCTGGGTGATCCGGAATTGTCCTGAGGGGCCTTGAATGAGTGTGGTGTTAGATGTGTACTTGCAGGTGATACAGCAAGCTCTGTTGCAATACACTGTGAAGCTATGAAGATTAAAGATCTCTCAAAGCCTGTTGTTTCTCATTTCACCTCTGACGGCCATGACCACTCTAATATCTCTGTCTGTGTTCTCAAAGATGGTTTTCCGAACTCGTACATCAGAAAGACTACAGAAACCAAAATTATCCTGCATCTAGGATCACACCTTCCCCCTTCTCTTAACAACAGACAACTTTTCTTCTAAATTTTCTCCATTCATTGGAGGTTTCATTTCACACCTCTCTACATCTATTCTGACTTCACACCTCTTGATTGGCCTCTCTTTCTTCTGTCCCTTGCTCCTGCCTCTCGCTCCTCTCTCCCAGCCTTTGTTCTACCGCTACATTACCTTTGCTTACTGCCTTGTCTTTCTCACACCTGAAGAAGGCTCCACGGCCGAAACGTTGTTTTCTTTCTTCTTTTTTTCAGCATGGAATAAACCTATTACTTGTTCCTTTATGTTAGTATGTTCATTTACCTTATGGGGCATTTGCCTGACTTTAGGCAAAAAGAACTAGGTTTCCAGATTTGGAGTAGGTGCAGTAGGTACCAGAGTATTGAGGAGCCCGACAGCCTGTGGAAAAAAGCTGTTACTGAGTCTGGTGGAGCTGGCCCGTATACTGCGATACCTTTTACCAGATGGTAGGAGGGCAAAGAGGTTACAGGAGGGGTGGGAGGGATTGTCCACAATACTGGAGGCTTTCTGTGTGCAACGTTTGTGGTATATTTTGACTTCTTTGTGTTTCATTTGACAAATGTCTTATATTATTTCCATACTTATCTTCCTATTCTCTGGCTTTCCAGGTGCATTGCTATTATTATTTTTTTTACTTAATTTTTTAATGTTTTATTTTCTACAAATAGTATTTAACACTCAGACACAACTTCCTAAAGCCTGTCCTAATGCTACAGTAGGTGTCCTTTTTTAGGCTACATATTCTGTTGTACTGTCAGTTGGATGCCAAAGTGATTGCTTTTCTGCTTCTCCAAACTGACAAACAAAAATATAATAAATCTAAGGTTGCATAATTCCCACATTTCAGCAAAATAAAATCAGGTTCCAAACAGTATTTTTTTAAATTGAAGGACCTAGATTTTCGCTTGGTCTTTCTGATAATTAGAACATAAGAAATATTACTAACAAGCTGAAGCCATCTGGCCAATCTAGTTCAATAAGTAGTTAAGTAGCCTATTGATCTCAGCATCTCATTCAGCTGTTTCTTGAAATAAGTCAGAGTATGATTGGATAGATTGTTCCATTCTTCCACAACCCTATGCGTAAAGAAGAGCCTCTTGTTTTGGTTTAAGTTCAATTCCAGTTTCCACTTGTGTACTCTTGTTTGTGTTTCACTGTTGATTCAACAGCGAACTCAAGTCAGCCTCAACTAATCTTATCATATGCATGTCAGCGAACGCCAGAATAATTTGAAACACGTCTCTTTTCTCTCCTTACTAATCTACAAATTGTATGCATCATGAAAGCCTCAGGAAAGGAATTAAAATGACATAATCAACATAATACGTAATACACTCCTTTCTGTTTCTGAGTACTGGGAGACAGTGCTAGTTTTCTAATGCCCTCTGAAATGTGCACAACCCTTATTTGTGGAGTTAAAGAAAGTCAGGAGGTGTTATGTTTCAAAAAATGAAATGGCTGGGGGCATTTATTTCATGTGTTATTTAAGCGCCTGTATATCATTGAATACATTTGCTTAGGTTCTGTTGAACAATTGATCAATTACATTTCATAAAGTATTTTTATTAAAACAAAAAAATTCAAAAGAAGCTGAGTAAGATGAGTAGCCATACTGTACAACGTTACATACCCTTAACAAGCACGTGAAATGCAGAGGAATCATATGCTTGTTTTTATGACAAACAAAAATGTAAATTTCTTAGCCACCTGCTTTCTCACAATGTAGCAAAATTTGCACTTATACTGTATATAGAGACATTTAAAGGAAAAAACTGTAGGACCTCAGTAGCACGCTCTCAGCTCTCACAGTCCTGGTTTTCTAACAGAAATAGGAAGTTAAAACATTTTATGAAAGAAAATAAATTTCATTTTATTCAAAATTTTAAAATAGCTTTGTGTTCATTCATCTTTTGAGATATATTTGCAGTTATTTACTTTTGTGATGGTCAAGATTTTAATAAAAAATATGTTTGAATTATATACACATGAGCAATTTCATATTTATTCTTACAATGAAACTTGATAATAAAAGCTTTAAATGTCTGTTAACTAGGATAATGACTAAATACAGGATA